ATTGCTTTTATCCTTATCCCTTTAACTCTTTCTTTGTTATTGCGAAGCCCAGTAATAGAAGTAACTTTCTCAGTTAAATTGTTTTCTGGTTTGAAAGTTATGTGCACCATTGAAAAGTTATTTTTTGAAGAGAATAAGCGATGACTGCGACGTGGGGAGAATTACCAACCGAAATATTGATATCAATAATGTCGTATTTGGATGCTAAAGAACTGGCTCGAATGGGGAATGTTAATTATCACTGGAAACGTGTCTGTGAAGATGATTCATTGTGGAGACCTCTGCTTATTCGTGATTATCTATTACCGCGAGATACTAATCTTAAGGTATTTTATACTTTTGATAGCATTGACAGACGATTGCTGCCAGTTATGGGGACTGATAAATATTATCAGAGATTTAGTATGTGAATACATAATGAATGAGTGATAATAAATAAATAGTCACTTATTTTGCTTGCACAGTTGCTGTCGGGATCATATTAATATTAACAAAGTCGAATAAATGAATTCAAAACAGGTATATGATCGGTGGGTGGATGAATACAAATTGTTGAAATTTGATTCACCAATAAATCTGTCTGAAAATCTTCGAGATTGTCCACAAGGTATAACAAATGTGGCGTTTTCGCCTGATGGCAAATTATTCTGTACGACGGCAAATGATGGCTCTTTTAAGGTATGGTTAACATTTTTTAGCTGTCTGTGAATGCAGCAAATGAAATGCTATTATAGTATAACGTTTCTTGATTATTTTACCGCATCTCAGATATGGACAGCGACACGACCAACGTACTTAATTCATGAACGTTATCTTGACGAGTCGCTGGGTTGGGAACGAGCTTTGTTCTCGAAATTCAGTGCTGACTCTAAATCATTGCTTGTTTCGGGTATCAAACAAAATCAAAACGGCGAAATCGCCGTGTTCACTATCGACGGTACTTTTGCGTTAGTAGACAAACATACATACATAAACCCATTATCGAATATCGGAATCGTTCTAGAAACCATATTTTCGAATATTTTTTGCCTGATGAACGCACGATTACAATTGACTCAAATTCAGTCGATGCTTTCAAAGAACAAATCCGAGCCATATTTGCAGCTGATGAAGCAGAGGTGCACTTCTCAAGTAGAGTCAAAAACAATCCAGCTGATGTGAACGCGTGTTGGTACAATAATTCGCACCTCATCATCAGCGACTTATTCACTTTCAACCACAAGTTAGCTCGGAGTTATGGCTACGAATTTTTCCAACTAACTGATTTTTTGTCGATGGCTGCCGATTGAATAACCTATTGGAGCCGCTGAAAAGTAAATTTTAAGCATCGGTCGATTTCGGCCAATGGCCCCCGAACTAACTCCAGTTCTGAATACCCATTTCATTTTCTATATTAGAGAAAATGGCAACATTCTCCATCAACATTGAAGTGAAAGAATTTGAATGTAATCGTTCATGACGTTACGTAGGGATTCACTGATTTTAAATTGTATTATAATATTGACATGAGAATATTTTGATGCAGTCTTCTGTTCAGCTCGATAATTGGAAGTTCAATTTCGTTGCTGTGGATTTGCTCGGGTGCGTCTGCCTTGAACGAAACAAACGAATCAGTGCTCAAACCACTTTTGAGGTTACGTTGAAACTGTAAAGAGATGAAGATGCATTGCGCTATCTCAAATAAATCAATTTTATCGTTCATTAGCATCATCTCGTTTCCTTCGATTTCGTTAACATTGCCACAACATCTTTAGTAACAGCACTGAGCGAAATCAAATAATTGAAGGATACCAAATCAGCGCGGTGGATATTGTCAAATGTTTGAAATTGCCCAGTATATACCCACTCGGTTACGCAGCGTTGTCTATCTTTCTCGACAAGCCGCCTTAGAGAAAACGGTATTAACTATTTTTTAAAGTATTCATCTGAATT